AAGGCACCATGCAGTTCTAGATGCCCAGGAATTCAGAAAAGGTCTATCCTATTACTGGCCATCTTTGGGAACATATCCACAGAGGCTTGATATTGGGAGTAGGCTGGAGGAAATGATAAGAGACCTATGCCAAGACTGGCAGACAGAAAATGGCAAATTCTTGAAGGACCATGTCTTTAATATTCAAATTGTTCAGGGTTAGCTTTGCAGCCCAGTAGTAAAACACTTGCCTAGCATGCAGAAGGCCCTGGGTTTGATCCCCAGTATCACTGAAATAATTCAAATTATTTAAAGTTTTCACTATAAAATGGCTAATGTGACATTCACCTCAGCAGGCTGAGGAAGCTACACTGAGATAGCAACAACCAAAAAAAAGTTTTTAAAATTTTATTTATTGTTGAAGCTAAATAGTAATTCTCATGGTTCAGAATCCAAAGGTAAAAAAGTGTGTACATTAAGAACATTTTATCTTTTCTTGAAATACCCAATTTCCCTTTCTGAAAGCAACTGGTGTCATAGGATTTGTGTGTGTGTGTGTGTGTGTGTGTGTGTAGTTTCTTTTGTAACTATCTGATGATGTTCTGTTTTTAATGCTCTCTTTTTTTTACACAAATAATCTTATCTACTACGCATACTGTTCTGTACCTTGCTCTAATCATCTACCACAAGCGCCAACACTGAACACTTAACTCATTTAATTCCCACAACAATCATATGAGGTAGATGCTATTAATATGCTCATAACCCTTATTTTTTTTCCTTTTTTGTTTTTTCTTGTTTGGGTGCATAACACATATGTATTGGGAATTGAATTCAGAATCTCATGCATGCTAGGCACATGCTSTACTACTGAGCTACACTCCCAGTCCCYAAACCTCATTTTTAGAGGTGAAAAAACTGAGTTTCAATTAAGTTAAAAATTACAGATCCAATAATTGGTGTGGGTCAGACTTGAACTCAGGCAGTCTGATTTCAGAATATTTGTCTTTAACCACCCAACTTTACAATTTCAACCTAAAGAACTTTCTAATTCATTTTCTCAGCTGCATAATATCCCTTTGATTGGCTGTTGTAAATTATTATTACCTATTGATAAACACTTAGGTTTTTCCCAATCTTCTTCCGTTATGCTATAGTGAATAAGCTTGGACACGGGTTTCGGAGACTATTTTTTTTTTACTTACTTTTTAGTTGTAGTTGGACACAATACCTTTATTTTATTTAATTATTTTTATGTGGTACTGAGGATCAAACCCAGGACCTCACACGTGCCCCTTCTGAGGCTATTTTTGATAGACTTTTWAAAATTGCCTTCTCTCTTGCCCTACCAATTTACACTCAATGTACACACAGAGAAATAAATCCCCAGAAATTTTCTCTAGCAGATCCTTATATTATGGCACCACAAGATTAAGAATGATCTAAATGCTTCTTTCTTCAAATTTATCCCTCACCATCTTCATAGGAGAATCAAAACACCCTTTGTTATAGCCAGAGGCTAAGGAATTTTCTATTTCCTGTGAAAGAAGAGGAAGGTCTGRAGATACCAGACCATTTGCTAAAGTTGAAATTTGGCAAGTAGCCACTAAACAGCACTTTCATTTTAGTCCCTGAATATATATGTATGCATATATCTTGCTTGCTTACTAATCACAGCCTTGTCTGCTTTTCATCCAATGCCATTTCACTCACTCAAGTGCAAATATTTATTGAATTCCTCCTATATTTAGGCACCTGTTAGATAAAGATGAGTAAAATGCACAAATAGGCTGTTTCAAGTGGCTCCAAAACGAATAAATGCAAATGGCTAGGCTTCAACTATGTGCCAGAATAAAATGTTGCTCCCATCTGGGAGTATGCTGCTGCCTGTCAGTTTCTGGGAAGAAACAGGACTGCCTTTGATCTGGCATACTTTTTCTATGTAAGCTTTGTTCCTATTTATAATTCTCCCAGAAATTAAGGCAGCAAGAAAGAGTGGCCTTCTGGGGCTGGGGCTCAGCGGTAGCGCACTTGCCTTGCATGTGTGAGGCACTGGGTTCGATTCTCAGCACCACATATAAATAAAGATCTATCAACAACGAAGGGAAAAATATTTTAAAAAGAGTGGCTTTCAACTACTGTGTGTGTAAGTTATTTCAAATTCCAGGGGCTACCATCAGAGTTTATTAGTAGGTAACGTATTATTTGACTTCAGCATGACAGGAATTTTTCAGTAGGCTGGGTAAGACTTTTCTGAGGTTAGAACTACACCCTACGAGCATCTAAAAATATGCTGCTGGGGAACCTTAAGAGCAAGATGGGAACAGATTTTAYTTTGTTCAAAATAACTTATAAATAATGGAAACTTACTTCTCACCRTTCTGAGTGCTGGTAAGTTCCATATCAGGGTACCATCAGATTCTGTCTGGTGAGGGCTGCTCTGCTTCAAGGATGGCACCCTCTTTCTCCATCCTCTCAGGACAATAGGCAAGGGAATTCCCTCCAATCTGTTTATAAAGGCACTAATTTCATTCATGGGGGCTCCTCCCTCAAGGTTAAATCACCTTCTAAAGGTCCTGCTTCTTAATACTATTGTGTTGGTGATTAAGTTCCAACATGACTTTGTGGGGACATAAGAGCTGGACTTTCATTCCTTAAAAACTTTCTGCATTTGTTAGCTATAGTTTTCTGCAAGTGTATGGACCTTGTGGTAGGGTAACATTTCCATAATCATTACATTACAAACCAACATGACCACAAGTGAATGGTGAAGTTCAGGGTAAAGTAAGCATTTAATGCAGGGTGATTTGAAGGAAGGAAAATTTGCTTGAATTTCTATTAAAACCCATTATTTCTGGTTCAAGGATTGGACCAGAAGTTAAAAACAAAAACAATGCTGGGGGGCTGGGGTTGTGGCTCAGTGGTAGAACGCTTGCCTTGCAGGTGTGAGGCACTGGGTTCAAGCCACATAAAAATTAAATTAATAAACAAAGATATTGTGTGTCCATCTATTACCAAAAAAAAAAAAAAAAAAAAAAAAAACCAATGCTGGGGATATAGCTCAGTTGGTAGAGTGGTTGTCTCATATTCACAAAGCCCTGGGTTCAATCCCCAGCACCACAAAAATAAAAATTAAAAACAAAATCTGTTTAACAGGATCCCACAGCTGAAGAACAGGGAGGGGTCACTTTTCTCTCTTTCTGCCATTCCTGAAACAAAGTAGGTTATGTCCTTTTTGTTGAGAGAATAGCCATCATCTCTTTAGTTCTTATCTACCAGCTCTCGGTGGGATCAACTTGTTTAATTATTTTATTTTGCGGTGGGGATTAAACCCAGGGCTTTACCCATACCAGGCAAATTCTCTATCACCAAGCTATATCCCCAGCCCATTTTAAAAATTTGAGGCACGGTTTCATTAAGTCACCCAAGCTAGCCTCAAACTCGAGATCCCCCTGCCTCAGCCTCCCGGGCCACTGGGATGACAGGTGTGTGCCACCACACTTGCTTCACTTACATTGTATATTTACCCAGAGTGAATTTGTGAAGGGGGAGCACCTAAAGATTAATTGGGTAAAAAGCAAGGTCACTGATGTGACTAATGCTTAATTATAGCATAATACCTGATACTTGAAACTTAACTGCAAATATTTATCAGTGTTTCCCACTACACTAAATTTCTTGGAAGGTGGAGCCCATCTTACTCATCTGGAATTTATTATTATTATTATTTTAATATTTATATTTTAGGGATTGGGGTTGTGGCTCAGCAGTAGAGCATTTGCCTAGCATCTTCGAGGCCCTGGGTTCGATCCTCAGCACTACATAAAAAATGAATAAATAAAATAAAGGTATTGTGTCCAACTACAACTAAAAAATATTTTTATTTTTTAAAAAAATACTTAATTTTTTAAAAAAATATTTATTTTTTAGTTGTAGGTGGACAGAGTATCTTTTTTTTTAATTTTTTTTAATTTTTATGTGGTGCTGAGCATCAAACCCAGTGCCTTAAGCCGGCTAGGTGAGTACTCTACCACTGAGCCACAATCCCAGCCCTATTATTATTATTATTTTACAGTGCTGAGGGTCAAACTCAAGCCCTCATGAATGCTAGTCAAAAGTTCTATCATTGAGCTATATCCCAGCCCCTAAAGGTGAAACATAAATTTTGAGGTTTTTTTTTTTTTAATGTAATCTTGACTAAAAATGAGTTTGTTGTTAACTTGAGAAATAGATAAGTCTCTTTAAGGGTTTTTGACATTCTGTTAGAAACAAACGAAAAAGTTTCGGAAAATGAGGTTGACAAAATCTTTTTATCAGGGCTGAAGCTGTGGGCTCAGCATGTGTAAGGCACTGGGTTCGAGTCTCAGCACCACATATAAATAAATGAATAAAATAAAGATCTATCAATATTTAAAAAAAATTCATTAAAAATCTTTTTATCATTGCTCAAACCTATTGCTTAGTGTCTGTTAACTCTTGGTTCCTCTTCCTTTTAAAAATAATAAAGCTTGAACGCTATTGATTTAGACTTGTAATTCATACGGTCAGACTCTATTATACATCACACTTCTGGACGTTTTATTACAAAGCGGCAAGCAACGGAAGGGAGCAAAGCCGCTGAAAAACTGCTCACAACAACTTAGTGATCGCAGGCTCATTGGATGACAGCGACATACTCGCTATCCAATCGCCAGGAAACCCGGAGTGAACGCTCTCCGGATTGGTGACAGGAAACATCTCTCAAGGTAATTCAAGAAGGCAGGCAGCACCTCTGGCCAATCAGAGGAATTCTGGGGCCGGCCTTGCCGCAGCGGGGTGGTATAGAACAAGTCACCGGAGAAAAATCTCCGCGGTCAGACCTGCCTTCCGCCAAGGGAGAGGGCGTGGCCTCCGGCTGCGAGCTCCAGGCAAGTGGGCGGGGCGCGCGGGCCTGGGCGGGGCGAGTGGATTCTGCGGCGGAGCCGGATGCGGGCGGCGCCGCGGCAGCCGCGGCTCTAGGAATGGGAGGAGCCCCGGCCGCTTGTGCTAGTGGCCACCGCCGCTGCCCAAGCCGGAGACCSAGCTGCCGCCTTAGTTCCCGCGCGTCGCTGCTTCCCAGAGCGGCGGAATGCTGGGGAAAGGGGTAGTCGGCGGTGGCGGTGGCACCAAAGCGCCAAAGCCCTCCTTCGTGTCGTACGTGCGCCCGGAGGTGAGAGTGCGCCGCGCGGGCGCAGCGTCGGGCTGGAGTGGCCAGGACCAGGGGTATCGGATCCGTGCCTTGACGCGGAACCGGGCGCTTCCTGCCGGTCTTCGGRGCGGGGCGAGGCCCTAGGGCCTCAGCTGCCTCTCTCGGGCGGGGCCGGGACCCCCGGGCGGGCAGGCAGGTGCTCGAGCGTAGCGCCGGGCTCGCTGGCCAACGAATGAAGGGGCCGGAGCCGGGAAGGTCTTGCGGCTGGGCCGCCCTGGGGTACTCTAGTGGGGAACTGGGATTGTGGGCACCGCTCTGAGAGGGAAGGGCTGGTGTTCGGGACCCGCATGGGGTGGCTCCTAGAGTCCGCAGCCCGGTGGGTCTGTCCTGCGCTGGACTTTGTCCGTGAGTCTCCAGGGCTCTCCTGTCCCAGCTGCCTGTTTCTGAGTGCCATTTGATGCCACTGGGGGGATACTTTGCACCACCTGCTGCCTCCCATCAGCGCTGCGCTGCGGCTAGAATGTGGGTCGGCCCTGGCCTCAGCCTGTCTCTGTCTGACCCTTGTGAATTCCTCTGTTTTATTTCTTTCTCTTTCATATCACCCCCGCTTCTTGTGGTTCCCCTGCCGTTTTACTGTCAAGAAGTTCGTTCGTTCATTCATTCATTCTTAAAATACTTTCCGAGCTCCTACTGTGTGCCAGGAAGCACTGTTCTGAACACTTGTGATATACATCATCAGTGAGCAGAACAAAGATCTCTCCCCGGAGCTTATATGAGAGGGAGAAGAGAAACTGACTAAATCATAGATATATAAGCAAATTATAGGGTGTATTAGAAGATAAGAATGGGAAACAAAAGGCATCCTTTTCATCCTTGAAAAGGGGCATTTGAGCCAAAACATGAGCGAAGAGTGGTCCAGGTAGCTGGGCCTGGTGTGGCCTGGTGAAAGCCATGAAAGCTTGGAGGAGCACAAGGGAAGCCAGCATTGCACATGCCCTATGGGCAGGAGGGAGAGGTAAAGGCAAATTTCTAGACCTTTTTAATGGTTTCTTAGAACTGTAGCTTTTAATGAATGCCTAATTAAATGCCTTCACACTTTGGATTTGTTGAAGGTTTAATCTACCTTTCCCTACATACAGCACTTTAATCAACAACACACACAACTATCAAATTCCCTATCTACAGATGTCTTCTCTTCCCACTTTTCACTTCTGTAAGGCAGAGACAAGTGAGCTGTGGATGAGAGGTCTTAATCAGGGACTGCTTCTTCAAGACTACCTGGACTCCATAACCTTTGCATATGAATTTTCAAATTCAAGATGAGTGTGTTTTCTCTAGTGGAGAGTACTTTTGATATGGGCCTTATTTTTAGTCCTAATTTTAAAATAAAAACCACTTCCTCTGTTAGTACTTTATATGGAGTCACGGTCATCTTAAATTTTCAGCAGACTTCCTGTGTAATCACATGTAAGTAATGTGGTCAGTTTCTTTCTTTTTTTTTAATATTCTCTTTAAAAAATACCTTTATTTCATTTGTTTTATATTTTTGTAGTGCCAGGGATCAAACTCAGTGCCTCACATATGCTAGGTAAGCCCTCTACCACTGAGCCACAACCCCAGCCTGGTCAGTTTCTTTTTGTGTCTTTTTTAATAGAGCCCTGGTTGAAGAACAAGTGGTCTTTAACCTTTCCTCTTCAGTGAGATTAAACTTACAAGTGGAAAGTCTTCTGAAATGTGGCCAGAGTTCAAGAATGTTCAAATTCCTCATCCACCAAATGCACATGTTGTAATTAGACATGTTTTCACTCTTTGCCCACAGTTCCTGATATATTTCTTTTGAGGGATAATTAGGAAAGGAGAGTAGTTCAGCCCCCAGATAAGCCTGGGTGATTGCATTTTTCAGATCCTTAGAGTTGGCAGTTTTGTTTTCTTGCATTAAAATAATGCTGTCAGATGCTATTCTTCTCTGTTGTATTCTGATTCTAAAAAATATTTTGTAACAGGATAAGGCTCTCACCTAAATTATGGATGTTTTTTTTTTTAAGTAAGGGTAGGAGGAGGTGAGAAAGAATTTATTTTTAAGTATATAGCTTTGCAAGACTTCCCATTATGGGAAATGCATGTGAGCAGCATTGAGGCATTGTTTATGTGTCGCAGAGCCTTGGGTCTAGTAACCTCTACACTCACCCAGTGGGAGAGTCCCTCAGAACACTTAAAGTTGTCATTCACTGTTTCTACTCCTGTGTCCCTCACGTTGCCTTCATCTTTACAAGCCTTTGGTATATGGCTTGCTATCACTTCTTTCTTTTGCTAGCTGGAAATTGCAGTTTCTCAGATGCTTTTTTTTTTTTTTTTTGGTAGATGTCTGAGCTGCCAGAACAACTTTTAAGCCTTACAGTGTAATGATAGCTAAGTAGGGAAAAGTTTATTCTTGGCTGATCAGATCCTGGAATGTTCAATGTCAGTGGCTTTCAGTATACCAAAAAGTCTATCAAGAGTCAGCACTTCGTGTTGAAAAACAAAAATAAAGTATTTGAAGATAATGTTGTTAAACATAGGCTTATTTTTTCCTTGATCAAAAAGAACTGACATGCTGGGGATGTGGCTCAAGCAGTAGCGCACTTGGGGATGTGGCTCAAACAGCGTGCTCGCCTGGCATGCATGCGGCCTGGGTTCGATCCTCAGCACCACATACAAACAAAGATGTTGTGTCCGAAGAAAACTAAAAAATAAAATATTAAAAATTCTCTCTCTCTCTCTCTCTCTCTCTCTCTCTGTTTAAAAACAACAACAACAAAAAAAGAACTGACTTTTTGGGCTGGGGCTGGGGCTTAGTGGTAGAGTGTTTGCTTTGCATGAGTGAGGCCCTGAGTTTGATTCTCACCATCACATAAAAATAAATAAAGATATTGTGCCCATCTACAATTGAAAAAACAAAGAACTGACTTTTGATAGCCTAAAATGAGAGATAATAATTAACCCCAACTTTTAAATTGAATCTCTGCCAGAGTAACTTGTGCTCTTCTGTCTTTAATTCTGGTAAGTCAGTGAATATGACAAGTAAAACTCTGAACTGTAATTGGGGACCTGTAGCCAAGTTTTGTAAATTATTCAGAGAGTTACTAGTAAGTAGGAAGCTGAAGGCTCTGAACGTTTAGGTGAACAAGAGAGAGGAATCTGGGGCCATATTTGTACTTGATGTTAGGTGCCTAAAAACATCTCAGCACCCTTATCTTAGCTCAGTCCCAAGCACAAGATACAAAGGATGTTGGTGCCTATGTGCAAGGGAACTGTTGGGTACTGAGATCTGCTCCAGGCAGGTATCTAGTTATAGTTTGGATGCTGGATCCATCTTTCATCTTAAAATATGACACTTAAAGTTTAAATTATTATTTTATCAGAAGCCGTACATAGGTGTTCATTACAGAAAAATAAGACAAATATATACAAAAATGTTAAGTAAAAATTATAAACTTACTAACAATTTATGTATCATCAGATATGTGTATAAGTACATACATATACATATATGTATATATATGAGTGTGTATGTTACAAAAATGGGATTAATACTGCTAATTATACTGTTTTTTTTAATGTTTTTCTCCAAAAATATGTATTATAAACATCTTACCATGTTAGTTGTTCAGTTACAACATTATTTTAAATTAGCAAGAGCTAGAGATGTAGCTCGGTGACAAGAGTGCTTCCCTAGTATGCTGAAGCCCTGGGTTCAGTGTTTACTACATCAACAAACAAACAAATAAACCTCTTCCTGAATAGAAACACACTGTGGTGGAAAGCTATAGTAGCACAAACGGCTAAAGGAGATGATTTTCAAATTCAGATAGTTTTGTTAGGAACTTTTTCTTCAAGAGTATCAGTTCTTTGCTCAGATACCTTGAAATTGTTAGCCCTGGTTTGGTAATTTATAATGATTAGAAATTCTTAGCACTGTACTGTGAAGCTTTTACATAAAGGACAATTTGGTGATCCTAAGAGAAAGTTCTGATTTAACAAGAATCCGTTTCATTTTGATAGTCAGTAAAATAAGAGCTTCAGGGAGCTTGCATGTTCTTTAAAACTGACCTGGAAAAATTTAGCTTTTAAATTGCTGCTGTACTTGTACTTATTTTTGTGTGGTCTTCATATATGGTTACAATGTACTTTCTAATAGAGCTTGAGTTGATGTTTCACTAGAATATAATAATAATTATTATCAATGATGGATTTTTAGATTTGAAAGATTTTAATCTAGTCCACCTCTCTACTTTTTTCCATTATATAGATGTGAAAAACTGAGACCTACCAGGTTAAATGTCCTGCTCAAGAGCACAGTGGTATTGCAGAATAGAGATCAGAGTTAAAAACTGTCTTCTAAAGATCCAGCAGTGTCAGTGGCTAAGCCAAGACCCACAGGAACTCAGGAAAGGCTTTATATAGATGTGGGAAGAAAAGGCAAGAAGAGAGATGAAGATTGAGAAGGGCAAAAATAAATAAATAAATAAAATAATGGTTGTGAGAGCCATTTTTTTTTTTAAAAATTTATCCCTCAGGGAAAAATTGCACAGCCCTTTTTTAACCCATTCCTTTGGTGAGGAGAAGTGAATTTGTGATAATGTATTCTTCCCAGAGATAGGACTGTGGGTATATACCAAAACAGAGTAATTCCTAATATACTTATTAGGCATTTCTGTGCCCAGGATCTATACTTATTTCATATTTTCAACAATCTTATGAAACAGATCCTATTATAACCCTCCTCCCCTTTGTTTTCAGATGTGGAAAACGGCTCAGAGAAGTTAAGTACCTTRTTCAAGATCATAACTAGTGGGATTGGGGATATAGCTCTGTGGTAGAGCAAGATCAGGGTTCAATCCCCAGTACCACCAAAAACAAACAAACAAAATAGCAATTTTTGGTGCSAGATTTAAAAGCCTCAGCAACTTAATGAGGCCCTAAGCAACTTAGTGAAATCCCCAAAACAAAAAGAGCCTGGGACGTAGCTCCATGGTAAATTG